TGTGTGTGTGTGTGTGTGTGTGTGTGTGTGTGTGTGTGTTTGTGCTACCGGCTGTTGAGTCTGTAGTTCTGCTCTTTGAGAGCTATTTCTCTCTGCTGGATCTGAATCACCTCCCTGGACAGATCCTCTGGTTTCCTGCCGACACACACACACACACACAAACAGCGCAGGTTAGTTAGCATACACAATTGCGCGCACACGGTGAGACGCACACAATAGAAAAAAATAATCAATACGACTGGGAAAGAAGAAAAGCAAAAGGTGAATGAAAACAACATTGTTTTCTATATTCCTGTAATTGCTTCTCAGTGGGAAGCGGGGTAAAAAGAAATGATCACCAGAGAGAGAGAAGGATGAATGAAGGATGCTGGTTGGCATTAAACAAAACAAGACGGACGGATTACAAGCGACATACCCACACACAAGGGGAAGGCACTATCTCATTTATCTTGGACGCTAATCTAAATCTTTATGAGTCTACTTTTGTTGGAAATCTTTGGTCAAAATTTCTGACTTTAGCAAAGGAATTCCCACTCATGCATCTCAGGTAAAAATGATTTTGCTCCTCACCATTGCCTGGCGTATCTTAAAGGGAAGATTAGAAAGTAACTTTGCATGACCGGCCAATAAAGTGGCATTAAGGCATCCTGTAGGTCTAAATTCTGCCTCAAAGAATCGGGTTTAACAAGTTATGTCAGAGTGAGTAAGCTACAGTTTTAAAAAATGAAAAATGTCCTTGTATTTAACACTTATTTTAAAGAATGTCACCTAAACCTTCACTAGAGACAACTGCTGGAGCATGAACCGATATTTGTGTTGTGCTCCATTACTAATTAATCTGCTGAGTCATTCAACATACTGGGCGAATGGAAAAGGAAAGCTGAGCTGTCAAAAAGTTGGCTGATGTGGGTTTTATGGCACTTTGACTGTAGTTAGGTAACTTTACGGCCGACTATGAACTCATGACTAAAACATACTTTAGTGAATCTTAGAGTAACTACGTCCAGCTGGGGGTTCAGACTCATTTCTCACATTCATTTTGTTACTCTACATGTGATTAAACATTCTTCTGAGTTTGCAGCAGCTTTCCTTTTGCTTTTTCTTCCCCACAATTCCTCCTAGACCACAAGCCAGTTGTCTCCGTTGGTGTTGCAAATGGCAGGTTTTCTACTATCGGGTGAGATGTTGTCAAAAGCTGTGAGGTGCAACAGTGGAGCCTGAACGCACCGTCAGGGGACTGCGACTGTGCTGGAACTCAACTTTAAAGTCCCCCCGTCAGTAAATGAGGGGAGTGATTAACACCAGCTTTTATTCCGGAGCCTTGTTAAAGTCTTGTGGGCTGAATTTTATAAAATATTTAATAACCTATAAACAAACTAGTGCTTTCCACTCAAAGTCTCGCTCATGTTTTTTTCAGTTTCAAGCATTTTCACCCCAATTTCAAATGGGGTTAGAAGCTTTTTTTTTTCTACGAACCTCGATTTACATACAATTTTTATGTTTTCTAAAATATTTACATACCAACTCCACCAGCACGTGTTCCGATAAAATATGGAAGCGGCTTTGTGTTGTGGGTAAACGGCAGAACTGCAGGAATTTGAGCTAATTTTCACTGCTCAGCAAATGCTTAAAAAATAAAAATCAAAGGAAGAGCAGATTGTGAACACTTCAATGGTTTGTATTCACACTTATTCTGTTTTCATTGGTTATTTATACACTCAGACTTCCAAAATAATAGTGGTGCAGGATTATGACATCAGAAGACACATAAAGCAAAACCTGAATCCAGCTGCATCAAGTTACGGATACAACTGCGGTAGGCAACACCTTCACATGCGGCAGACACACAAAGAGGACCTCGTATTTCTATTATCCAGTGCGAAATAGCCAATTTGACGCAATAAACCAACTTTGAGAAACAACTTGTCACCAGAGTGGGAAATTATTTCTGCAGCAACTTCAAATAGGGCTCCACTTCCTGTGTTTGGACAGCCGTATTATTCCCCTTTTCCAGTTCCATCAGGTGTGTTTCCAGTTGTAAACCGCATGGGCCTGCGCAAAAGCATGCACAATCTCATCAAAAAAGCATAACAGAAGGCGACGAAATGACTGGTAGCGACCAGCCAACTGCTGGCAAGCTCAAGCTGTGGGTGTGAGCTTGTCTACTTCACCAGGCAGCCACACTGATTGTCTCCTCGGCCCAAGAGCTATTGTTTTTTGGCAAGGAAACACAAAGCAAAGAAACAAAAAACGGCTGGTTTCAAATCAAAATTTGGGTTGCAGGACACAGTCGATTTACATTAGCTTTTCCTACCACCAATGTACAACCTGACATGTCATGTGGCAGATGGTTAGTTATTTCACCTAAAAGAAGCAGAACCAAAATTATTGAGAGCTTGCACCACTAAAAAACAGGAAAAAAAAAACAAATGAATGAATTTCTCAAAACACCTTGACTTATTGACTGTGCAGAAAGCTTTATTTCAGGGCCAACATTAATCTTAAGATGGCCAGAGTGCTAAATGCTGGGTCAGCAACTTAAATGTCCTCTCAAACTTGTTGATTGTGTTTAACAGCAACTACAGTGGTTCATAAATCCAGATTCAGGTTCACTTGTAAAATAAGTCTTAAACTTCCTCGTAAAGACAATTTTATGCCTGAGAGGAGTCCACACAGTCAAGTAATGAAATAACGAGACTTTAAAAGCCTAAAAGGACTATTGTAGTTTTCCACTAGTGCAAAAATCCATGCCCATACTAATTTTCCCTCAGAACGGCTGCTCATACTGCAATAACGGTAAACAAATTGCAGTGTGAAACGTGCTTTCCTCCATTTAGCAAAACAACATCTTGATCCAGCTCTCAATTAGTTCAATTTCTTTTTTCTTTTTTTGGGCAAAAAACAGCTCAAAGGGGTTTCTGCAGCCCGGGTGAATTGAAAGCAGCAAAACTCTTTCATTTAGATCAGCGCCTTACAAGTACGATTAACATCTTATGGTGGATTTTTTCCCCCTCCTTTAGATCAACTGCAATCAGGCAGAAAATTACATGAAAAGGGTGAACACCTGACTTTCAAAACGGCATCAATTTTCAACTCAATTTACCCTGACTGACAGCCCAGTTGGACTTTCCAGTTGAATTCTCAGAAAAATGATGGACAGCCTGGTTAAATATTCTTTATTATACACATCTAGTTCATATCCCTTTATGAGGATTCTTTCCTGCTCCGTGAATAACTGCTTGTCTGACAGGCCTCAAGTCCCACAATGCAAACAAACTTAAACACGGCCTTGAATGAGAAAATGTAGCCTCAATGCTCATTAGGGAAATTATCGCCCGAGCTAACAGATTGATGATGAGGAGGGGCCATCAACAGGTGCCCACCAAAAGGCGTCTGCACCGAACCGTATACGCACACAACCAATCAGAGCACCAAAATACACAACGTGGGACTGAGCAACACACGTTCCACAGCAGTCCCCTGTGAAGTCTTATCACATCAAACACATCCCATATTAGATAAATCACAGAGGTTCACCTGGTCAGGGCATGAGCAGCTGGAAAAACAGGAGGGAGACCAGATGCATTCTGCCAGAGCAAATGAAACACATCTGACTGGCTCCTAGGTTATACGGGCTTACTTTATCTTGTCATGTAATGGAGGCTGGCATCTACTTTTTACCCTTTTTTTTACCCAGCAGGAAGGTGAAACACTTCTTTTATATAACCTTGCTGTCATATGTTATAAAACAAAGCAGATACACTGTGTGGATGTGCTATATTTACCATTCTCCCGACATAAATGCTGGAGCTAATTACAAAGAAAATGGTGTGTGTGCGTGAGGCAGATAGACATTCCATGCTTGTGCATGCAATGCATCGCTCTGTGATGCTTATAAAGATCCAATCCAATGCTCACAAGGAAAAATTAAACTACTTTCCTATTACCAATTTGACCAAATGAAAAGAGACACGCTCAATACACACACATACACACACAGAGACAAAACAAATGATTTCACACACTCATGGAATGAATCCACCAGTGAGCGAATGAAATGATGAAGCAGGTTGATTTGGAATGACCACAGCTCCACCTAGTGTCCATCCTTTGCATCACAATCATAACGTGGTGACGTCACAGTTCCGATTCCTCTTACATGCTCTCGCACACGACCATCGCTCCTACAGTTACTGACCTTATGTTGAGTCCAGTGGATTGGCCAAGGTTTTCCCATGCGTGAAGCTTCTCAGCCAGCCTCTAAGAGAATGTGAAATGTATATCAGAATTATGGAAAAGATCAATTTTGTTAAGTAAGAAAAAAGGTTAAACATTAAAACCAAATAGGTCAAACCTTTTAGAGTACATTCATTTAGATGCATAGAGGTGCAACCTAATTATCTTTAGGTCATGGTTGCTCATTAGCGTAAAACTAACCACTTACATGCAGGTCCACTAAAGGATCATCTGTTTATCAGTGCACCGTGACACCTTGATACAGTACACGCCTGTCTAGGAACCTTCTATGATTTTGCTTTTATCCAAAGGAACTTACAAAGGATGCAAACTGAATGTTTATCAGTCTGCATGAGTTTGCTTGAGCCTTTACTAACAGTAGTGTGAATATCTTTTGAGATTGACCGTGTTAACAAAACCTGAGTGGATTCAACTGTTGCATGAGAGAAAAAAGACATTTCAAAGATACTTTTTTTGTTTTGAAATCGGTAGAAATATACTAACGGTTAATAAATAAGCTATCAATCAGTTATGCACACTGATGTGATACTAAGATCTTTGGTGTCACTGAATGGCATCAGTTAGTCTAGCCTGGAACATTAGTTGAGGTGGAACGATTTAAATGTGTCAGTGACAATAAGAGCAAAAGTCTACAAATTTTGTCCTGCCGGCCTATCAGTTTCAGTTCATTAAGAACTAATCAAAGGAACTTTTAATATCTCCACTTTAAGTGGAGGTGAAAAGCTTTTCAGATGTGAGAGTAACTGCACAAAGTTTACTTCTTTCTCCAGTTCCATGTTGACCAAATCCTCTTTGGTTTTCTCCATCCTCTCCAACTTCTTCCTAAGTCCTTCCGCCTCCTCTTTCAACAGGCTGCAATTTTCTCTACTCTCCCTAAACAGAGAAGAGACAAAACCACAAAATGGTATTAGGACTCCATGAAGTGTAGAAATTACAGTCTGACCATTACATATACTTAAAATGGATCGGATTTTTTAATCTGGTTTCAAATTCCATGAGGCTTTCCTCAGTCAAGCAATAACATATGTATGGTAATATGTTAGCTAGTCAGACTGTTTACACCGACAGCATTGAGAACTTATAGCATTGATAAACAAAGATGGATTAACCACTACGAGCAGTGACATGAAAAGTTAAATATGTTTGACCTTAGAAAAGCATTTTCATCTCTGAGGTGTTTCAGCTCCTTTTCCATATCTGGAACTCTGGCCACTTCTGATTTAACAGTCTTCACGATTGCCATGTCCTGCTCCTGCAGAGCAAGACGCCTCTCCAACTCCTGCAAAATTAATTTAAAAAAATGTTAAAGAGGCAACAGTGGATCCAGTGCACTTGTAAAGCCTTATGTCCTTATGCTTAACACACACATACAAACATTTTTTTGCGAAAATATAATCTTAATTTCCAGAAAAATATGGATTATATTTTAATATATGAGGACAACCGCAACAAACCTTAATCTTGATTATGTGCTCAGAGCAGGAGGACTGGGCAGCTTGAAGAGTTTGACATTGTTGAGAGACTTCCTGATACTTCCTGATAAAGATTACATTAAAAACAAATGAAAATGCATGAACAAATCAAACCAAACAGAATGTGCATTTCTCCATCATCTTATGAGGTACAGCTCCATATTCATTAGCCTGAAACAAACTCGGTACCTCCGTTGTAAGTCAAGCTGTTCCTGTAACTCCTCCTTTTCCAAAGTTTGGGTAGAAATCGTTGAGTCTTGATTTTGAATTTTCTGATTAAGCTCTCTTAGCTCATCCTTCAAAGAACTGATTGTCTAGAAAAAACATTACACAGGTGAGCAAATATAAGAAGAGATGTTATTAGAGAGGAAAAATGAGTTTGTCTGTGCAGGTACCTGGTTGGCCGTATTCAGGTTGGTATCTCGCTCCTCGAGTTTCTTACTCATACCCTCTAGGTTTCTACGGAGGGCTCGGTTGGCCTCCACCTGCTCTGACAGGTTTTTGTTTGCTTCCATCTCCCTCTCCTCCAACTTTTTTATTATGCCCAAAAGTCCTTGGTTCCTGTCCACTTCATGCTACAACATAAAAGACACCGATCATGATTTGTCTGAGAGGGAAAATGATCTATAGTAAAAACTATGCAAATGTTAATAATCTCTTCTGGCCTAATTCAATTCGAGAATCTGTTCTTTACCTCCAAGTCTCGTGCACTGTCAGAGGCAACCTTCTCCAGCTCAAAACGAGCTCGTTTGTGACTCAGCTCCATCTGTTTCTTTTCTTGGTCTAACTGGAGGTAGCGGCTCTTAGAGTGGACCTTCTCTGCGGCTTCCAGAAGCTAAAAGGGCGAGATATGTCAGTCAGTATATTGACTGAATGATGCTAACACTTTTCGTGAGATTCCATTTACCTCAATGCTGCGTTTGTACTGGCTTTGCAGGGCCCCACTCCCTGTGGAGGGCTCCGACAGCCGCTGTGGATTGTCCGGACGACTGATGAAGGTATTGAATGACCTCAGGGTTGTTAACACGGTAGTGTCATCTTCTAAGTCCATTTTCGGTGATACTGCTGTTTCAAAGCTCTGAGAGGTTCAAGTTGTAAACAAAAGTTCAGCCACACTAATATCAGAGCTACACTTTCTTGAGCAATGGCAGAATGCTCACATTCTGCACCAAACTTTAAGGACAGAAACACAGGAACCCCTCAAAAGGGCATGATTAAAACCCTCTCTGCTGAAGTGCAAATAAGACAAATGTAATAATTATACACCAGAGCCCATTGATTAAAGAGGCCCCCGTTTATAAGCAGTGTGTTACCATTATATCTGGAAGTGTAGCTGATCTAAACTAAATGGGGTAGCTGCTAAATCTGAGATCACTTGAGTAAGGTATGATCGGTGCTCTGACACAAATATATGCTTTTATACATAACTAAGATAATATGAGTTTACCAGGAGGATAAATTAATAAACATCATAAAGCTGTTGGCTGTTTATCTTTGGTTCAGCATGCAACACAGCATGAAAAGGTAAAGTGACATTAGATAGTTTGTTTACTATTCCATCCGGAAAACAACCTTAGTTTTAAAATAATCAAAAGCAGAATTAAGAGTGGTCAACATGTCGTGTTGTTAATCTGACATATCAATGCAATATTTGCTGTTGAAGTTAGCGGGTGAACCATTGTTTTTAGTACGTTACCACATTAGCATGAAATTCCATCCAAAAAGAATATATATCCACAGATGGTGTTGGAAAGCTAATTATCTGTTTAATATGCAAATAGTTTAGACGTAATGGATAATACCTTACCTTAGAACTGACTTATTTGTGAAGAGTAGCGACTTAGTAAATTGTTTTCTGACCTGCTAGCGTATTAGCTGCATGGTAACCAGAAATCCCTCCAGTGAACTCGAAAAATATGCGTAGTAACGCGAGACTATCACCCGGAAGTTGCCCTCTTTCCTTAAAAAAAATTTAAAAAAAATAGAAAGAAATTATTTAATTAAAAAAATGTATTTTCATCCTACTCCCTGTAGTTAAAATATATTCATTTCAATATTAAAGTGGAGAACCAAACTACTGGAATTATTCAGGTACAAGCATGCCCGTTTTTTAGTTATTTCCAACCATGGGTATCTGTTATCTTATTTTGCCCTTGTGAAATATTGTGTTGGACTTAAAAGGCTGAAAAATGGATACCCATTAAACAAAAACGAAAGAAAAATACACTACATAATTCCTAAATGGCTGCTACATCTTCGCTAGCCATGAAAATGAATGCAACTTTAAATGTTTGAATATTCATAATTTATCACTGTGCAATAAGTCAATAAGTCAAATTGTTGTGTATTCTCTTCTGCCCGCCATTATCAGGCATATCTGTTATGTACAACCGGATTTTGAGCAAAGTGTTTACCATTAAAAAGGGTTTCAGATCTCAATATTTCAGAAACTGTGTGTATCAAACATATAAAGCATTATAGGGTTAAAAAAAATTGTCAAATACTCCTCAATACAAAATTAATTACAGTACAAAATTAAGAAGTAATGCTCTTAAATTAATTTGTTCATGTAGAAAAAGAACCCAAAAGCTTTCCATGAACTAAATCTTTAAGAATAAAAAGTGATTATCCGTTACTTACATATGGGTTTTTAAATCACGCCCCATCAAAAGAAAATTTGTTAAAAAACTGTTTATATCAGAAGGATTTTTCATCACTTTGGCGATATTATCTTTTTATGTTATCCTATTGCATGCATATTTATAAAATTATATAGGTAGTCCATGTAGTCCGCCAGAGGGAGGCAAAGCTTTACAAATTGAAATTTCAAACAGTATGATCGTGCAAAAGCGGTCAAGTGGAAGAATAACGGGAGGTCTAATCATATGTGGTGCTTAGAATCTGCGATAAGCTCTTCATTTCATGTGTTGAAAGGTTTTTTCCTGAGAAGATGAAAGTCAGGAAATTCATTTGATACCAATCTGAGGTTCATAGGCCTTACTTTTTCACTGATGGCACAGCTTCAAAGAGGCAAACATTGTATTATCTGACTGATGCTGTACCAAATACATTTGCTTAGATGTATGGCCATGTAGTTATGGCCGAAGGTTTTCAAAACTGAGTTTAATTAAATCACCACAAGTTTTAACAAATGATTACTGCATCAACATCTTATCCCCTATGGTTCGTCAGGTCAAATTCACAGAAAGTACCAAAAGAAAGTCAGCTATTTCTTTGGCTTTGCTAAGCAATATGCAAACCTAAAAGCAGCTAGAAAATGAATAGCTCCTTCTGGGTACTTTTATAATAAAGTAGCAAGTGGGACCTACAGAAAGACATTTTTTTTAAATATAGCCTGTGTCCTCAGACAGAAAGAAAGTGGGGAGAAAGTGAAAGGGTCCCAATTTGTCTGAAAAGGTCAAATGAAAGAAATTTTGCTTCAAGAGTGGCATAACAACTGCCTTTCACTCTGGCACTGTTCCTTTCTTTTGCATCGCTTCACCCCCAAGTGTATTATTTCTGTTTGTTTCCGCTGTCTACTGCCCCCACAGTTCCAGCCTGTTCAGTATTTTACCTCTTTCTCTTGCACTCTTTTTCTGTGCAGACTGACTATTAACACTGTCTTTCTTTATCTGTCACCGTCGGATTCAGTCAGCCTCCACTCCTCTCGTGGGTATTCTGACACTCTAGCCACCTTGTCTTTCTGCATTCACCAGGGGGTCAGCCTCAATGCAGTGATCTCTCTAAGATGACGCAAATGCAAAAACAAGAAAAAAATCACGTTAATATGTACAATTACATGTGCATGCATGAAGTTTTTATATCTTAAGCTCGTGCAGATATGCCCTTCACTTCCATATGTAAAAAAAAAAAGTAAATTATGTTTTATAGACGTCCTGAATCATGCTGTCTCCATACTTTCCCCAATATAGAATCTAAAAAGGAAAACTGCCGTGTCAGTTTAATCCTGACACAATGTGCTGCCTCAACAAACACTGTCACTGTCAATTATACAGGAAGGAAATTATTCAAAGGGAGCAGGTGGAAGAAATGGGAATTTTTCTCATCAAAATGGGTCCATAGAATGCAAGGAAGGGCTTGGTGAGGAAAAAGGAGGAAAGACACGAGAGATGAGATGAAGAAAATAGAGGGGAAAAAGCAGAAAGAAGGGAAGAGAACAACGATAGTGATCAAATGAAGCAAGAAAATCAATAGTGCAGTGATTTTATACGCCTCTAATGGAGGACGACATAGTCAATAGCTGATTCAGGGATTTCTGTGCTCTTAAGCCCGGAGCAATACTTTAACAATATTAGTTTATGGGCCTGCACACTCCTTCACACACGTGCATGGAGAACGAGCAGGATCCAAATGCACTCAGTGATACATGAGTAAGTCAGAATCAGAAACGGCACAAAAATAAAACAAGCTTTCCAATAAAGGAAATAAGCACCCTCTTGGGGACAGGAAAATGGGAATGAGACACGAGGTTCCACCATTTTCAGGACTAATTCTCCAAGGACCTTTGAGGCAGATAGAACCCGTGTGCTACACACAGAGAAGCGAGCAGCAATAAGGTGAGTGGAAACCGTCTATAAATCCCAATTCTAGATGCAGATAACTTCTCGTAATGCATTTTATCAGCATTGCACTTCAATGCCCCTCTCTCTTACAAACATTCACAACACCACATTCGTGCAGAAATCTCATTTTACCACACAGTGATGGCTGTTTGGGGCGGTTTGTTTGTTTGGGGCCTGTAAGCTTACATGGGCCATCAGCTGGAACACAACCAATTGCGCTGACACATTTTATCAGCCAAGCAGCCCGATGAGAGATAAACGGAGAGCATCAAAGCATGTGAGTTGTGTGAGGGGTTGTAGAGTAATGCACACAAACAGTGAGAGGAGAGCAAGGCAGCAGGATGGTGGGAGCCAACCAGGTGAAATGGTAGAAGAGGAAGGGGGGGGCAGAGAGCTGCAGAAGAAGAGGAGTCTTTAAGGTGTCAGTGGTTGAAGAGAAATGTAGTCATTAGTCAGACAATGAGCATATGTGTAAATCCGTCCAGTTTTGCTTTTTGTTCTCATTACAGCAAACACAGGGTGGATAATGGTTAACATAGGTGTAATGAGGCAACAAACCAATTATAGATTTTGAGTTGTACTTCTGTTTCCCGCTGCACACATGGATCAGAGTGCTCTCAGTTTAGAGATTCAAACGATTTCCTGATTGCCAACTTAAGCCAAAAGCTGCAAAATGGAGGATCCAGTCACTTATAATCTCAGCTCCAAATTTAAGTTGGAGATATACTGTAGATTTTTATACTACTCCACCTCTGCATTGGGCAGCTACTCAGACCAGTACAGACTGTGTTTTCGGAAACTGATCTGGCCAGATCTTTGAAAAAGAAATTGTCAAATTTCTGTGTCAAACACAAATGTGTTTGTGAGCGACCAATAAGTAAGACACTGCAGGAAATTAGAAGTTTTGTGGGTACAGTCCAGTGCTGCATGAAGAACATATTGGATCATAAGAGCCCCTGAAACTAGAAACTAGCAGTAGGCTTCTGTTCAGGCTCCATCTGAGCAACTGGAGAAGGTGGAGTTGGGAAGCAGGTAGAAGTCAGTATTGTTCAGCCTATAAGGAGAACAACAGCGGTGAGATAAAGAAATTACAGAAAGGAGATTGATTGGCTTGGTGAGAAAGGAAGCAGGAGACCACTGGACCTGAGCGGTAATATAATGATTAATGAGGAGGGTCTGACAGCGTGGGAAAGCAGAGAAGAGAGAAGTGGAAAACAAATAACGAGTGACAGAAATGGACTGTATTTCCCTTGTTGAGCTTTTGCCAATGCGTCGTGTTACAAGGACGTTCTCCACTCATAGAATGATAGATTTTTCTGAACAAATCAATCAAAAACATCGAAAACTGATCAATGAATGATGAAAATGTTGATCTTTTTAGAGTTTATGAAATACAATACCGTGTTGCACCAGTTTAATTCAGATTGCATTAACACTGTAGGTGAGAGTGGGTAATTGCTCCTTACATGTTTTAAATTCTACCAGCAGTATAACAGAAGATTAATGTTTAAAAGGGAAAGCTCATCCAGCATTCGTTAAAAGGCATCGTTTTATCCAAACAACCTCTTTGACAGAAGAAACTGTGTCAGACATGGTTATAATGGATGTATGGGAGGTACATGGATTGTGAGTCGGTGTGTGTGCGTTTGTGTGCCACTGCTGAGGGAGTTCATACGTCAAGCGCGCCGCATAGACTATGAAAGATTTTCTTCATTCCAAAATACGTAAGTGAGAACAAAATAGAAATGGGAGTTTTAATTTTCCACTCTGTGCGCTTAGTTGAGGTCAAAACCAGTGTCTGATTCGTGGAGTTTAATGGTGCCACGTTATTATCGATATTTCCGGGCCATACTTGGTTGTGTGCAGGAGGCTTATGATTCATCTGGTGTGCAGATAAATGGATTAGTCATGATATTCTGAATGAATGATTTTTTTGTTATCTTTTTATATTTCATCATTGTTACAGATGACCAGAATCTATCGAACGAGGACTTTCTGATGTGCCTGGTTTGTGTCCTGAATGTGAGGTTACTGTGGTCACTGTGGGCCTGATTCACATTTTTTAAGTATTTTTGTTAGTCATGAATGATTCATAGTGCTCTCTCTTTATGTTATCTGTATTTAATTCATTTATAATGCACAGCCTTGCCCGGAGTGTTCAGGTAGAGGCTTTGGAAACGAGCCACAGAGTTGAGAAACTTCACTCATTTTGTTGTTTTGGTTGCGGTTAGGATCTTTTCACATTATTAACTCAGTCTCTGCCTGAAAATTTTGAAAATGGTTGCTGAGCTTTTTTTTCTAACAAAGGAACAAATAATGTATGTTA